GAAAGGCATCGGAACCGCGCGATTACGGATTTCGCAAGTCCACGAATATTTCGTGAATAGCTCGAGAGCGCACCGACCGCAAAGGCGAGGCAGTTGCGCAAGTAAAAGCCACGTATATCCACGCAACTAGGATACAATTCCTCCTCCGAGTTGTCTACGAGGAGAAGAAAAATCGAACCTCACTGTATGTTGTTGCTTGACCGACTATGCCCTCGTTTAGCCACCCGCCGTTGGCCTTCCACAAAGGAGTTGCACATGCAGGATCCATGGGCCACTTAGCTTCGCACTTCTTCCACCCCATTCAAGACCACCGTTCTGCATCTCCTGTTAACCAACTTTCTGACGGCTGGAGAAAAGCAGTCTTAGCTCCACAGCCCTCATCCTCCCACTAACTCAATCACACACTACCAGCATCTGATGTGAAAGCAGAGTGAAACTCACCAGACGACAGATACTGAAGAAACAATGGTAGCAGGAAGCAGGGATCGTACTGACTAGGATCCAAATTCACACCTTCCACATTCATCGATCGTGCCTATGCAAAACAGAGTGAAACAGAACAGTGTCCTTAAAATACAAAAGCATTCAAGCCGAAACCTCAGTATGTGCAAAATACCGTCGCATTGTTGATAATGAAGCTCCCCCTTCATGTCAGTTGTGATTTAGTCACGTTTCAATGCCCCTAATGCCCAGATGGGAGTGATGCAGAGCATCTACTCCAACTACATCTACAAGACATGCAACTCAATGCTTATCATACACACTAAGGTCCGAGTGATGCCGCATCTATCTCTTAACAGAAAAACGTACTGTAATTTAAGGAAATGATAATTGGCTTGTGCCTACGAAGAACAATACCTTCGAGATGTGCGCTCGCAACAACGAAACTTACCAAGCAGCGACGAGAAACAGGAAATGCAAGTGCACCGCTCAGCAATCGATCCTTATCCAAAATGCTCAAAAAAGCACCTGCATTCAACTCCCGCCACAATTGTGGCACATCGCGCAGTGTCTCACCGAAACGATAATGGTCCATGATACGATCTCCCCATATCACATTCCGACTCGAAAATCCCCTAGTCAAATACAGCCTTAAATCTACTCAGTTGACTTACCAAATACTTGACACGGAGTAGCCGCTCACATCAAGTATGTAGATCAACTGCAACAACAACCGGTCTAAAAACAAAATGTTAGAACCTATGCGCACTCCACTCACCACACACGGACAAACTGCCCTGATAAGCGGCTAAAATGCAAGTCAGCGGTATTGCCTTCGCTGTGGTTTGCGGATCAACCTCAGCCAGTGCAAGAAGCAGATTAACAAACGCGGCTATAATGGAGGCAAACACTGAAGGCACACACTTCACTGACCTACTTTTGAGTGGCGTCAGTGGAATTGTGGCAAACTCCTCAGTTGTCGGCTTCTCTAGTAGAATTACTTTAAACACGTGGTTGGTGGAGATGAGCTTGAGCAGCTGCATTGGACAAGGTGACAACTTCTCGCCCACACATTCGCTGCTTTCGGCCCGCACCCAGCCACTTGCATCGTTGCTTCGCGAGAAGTAACGAACAGCTGCTGCCAGGCAATTGAAGACAACGAATTGTTGCCAGTAGGTCCTGCAAAAAGTTTACCATAAAACCCAAACACCAGAACCACTCACATAAGACAGGCTGGAGCTAATTGGGGCCAAGCTTTGACCAACTTCGCCGCCTCCCGTTCTGAAACCTCCGTCTCCGGATCTTGGAACAACTTGTGTAACACCAAAAGACGCGATTGAAACTCTACCAATTGCAATGGCTTTTAACACACGAAAGATGGAACCTACTTCTCGGCAGAGAAGCTATCATCGCTTCTGCATTCAACACTTCCTTCGAACCTAAAAGTAACTGAAAACAAATTAACATTCACACACCCTCAAGATCTTCCTCATTCTCCTTCACCTCTTCCTCCTCCCCTGCATCAGTGGATGGGAGAACCTGATCCTTCAAAAGAGATACATCACAGTGCTCCTTTTGTAGAGTCTTGGAAAACCTTTGCAACCATTTATCCACAAGAACACGCTCCGGAAGGATCTTGCAGATGGACTGAATGATGGGCTCGGGTGCGGAACCCTTAGTTTTCAGGTCCTCGGTTGTGTGCAGCCAGGTCAGAAAGAGAACCATATTTTGCCGAAGAGTCCTGTAGATACTACCAGCCGCCTTTCCTACCGCCTTGCTTTCATGCTGAGGAGAAAGACAATAATCGAAATGCAAAAAAAACAAACGAGTCTTTCAGCAACAGAGAAGAGACCGTAAATGCCTACCTGAAAAGCTGAATATAGTATTTCGGCGATGCACAACGGGGGCAAGCAGATGTCAGAGACGCCTTCGACAAACTGGGCCATGTCTTGCGACAAGTCCAACAGTTGAGAAACACGCTTGACCATGTGAGTTTCGAAGGTGGAGAACAGCTATAATATGCAAAAGTCAACTACACCAGCCTAAGTGCAACATCTCACCATCCTCCAAGCCTACTCAAAGTTGTTTTCCTCTTTTCAACGCTCCATTTTAACCCACTGCATGCGCTAAATCTGCGTCATTTGTCAGTGAATCGAGCAGCGTGTGTAACTACCTCAGTCAGGGGACCAAGCACGAAAACATTGCCGCACATTTAATTAAGTCATGGAGTACCTGCGAATGAAAGCAAAGTGCACGAGAAATGTGCTGTGCATGTTGAGAACCTGTTACCATAGGGAGAACGAAAGTTGAATTTGTGACTTAGAAGAACAACTCAGAGGGAGAGGGAGAGGGAGAGGAAGATCACCCTCCTTCCCACCCATCGTACTTCGGAAATAGTCAAGTGTTCCTAATCGTAGCCAGCTATTGTGAATTTCAACTCACAATACCAACATTGACAATTTATGGAGAGAACACTGGGTATGATTCCATCCAAAACACTGACATTACACCTTGACTTAATGCTCAACACAAACGATGGTGCCTAGCTTTGATACCAGGACCACAAAACAAGTCAACCATGCAAGTTTGCGCTGGAATTTGCCGTCTCATGTCCACCGATGGTTTCACACGCCATCAAAATATCTCTTTCGGTTTCACAAACAAAAAAACCTTTACTACGATCTCATCGCGTGGCGCCTGCCCCGCCATCAATAGAAAGATCTGGTAATGGAAAATGTTACTTTATCCCTACCTTACGTGTGGAAAGTGAGCCCTCCATCGTGTTGCAATGCCCCTCAATGCAACTGGCACCCACCAGGCACATGAAAAGCGGCCAATGTCAACAGTGACAGATGGAACGAAAAGGGGAAATACAAGCCGATTTGTTGCAACCACATAACAAATACCAACTTCCATTATCTTCAAACGTAGCCTGACGGCATTCAAAACCACGAGGTTAGCAAAAAGGGCCAAAATCATTTGTTACAAGTGTCATCATTCCTGCAGCAAAGTACGACCGATTTTCCAGGTTGCGACAAAATGTTGACACCCACCTCATTAACAAATGCCATCAGATTGTACCAGTTCTCCGAATCGCGAGGTACCATGGAGGCCGTCCAATGAGCTAAGTAGGCGGGCAAAAGAGCTGGACATGCTAGCAGGCAATTGACAACCAGATCTCGTCTCATCTCGTCCGCGAATACGCCCTCCATCGGTGGTGAGAGGAGTAACGAGAGGAGGTGCTCATTCTGTTTTCTAAAACGATTAAAAGATACAGCATGGCTCCACAACACGAGTAACCGCCAACATTCCAGTCGCCGCATAACTAACCCGCCTTCAAGGTAGGCACGCTCGCGAAATACAAGACCAGCAGTGGGCGAAGACGTGAGAGGGAGGAGGAGGCTATGAAGCGCTTGTCGAACAACTTCTACAGACTCAGCATCCACCTCCGCGTCAGTGCGAGACAGGGCTACCTTCATTGACAGCGCCTCTCCCCTATACGCATACAGGTAGGCTAACTTTCTTAGTGCTCCCCTCGTAAATATCCGCATTTTTATTGTCTTGCTCACTGTTGCATTCTCACATATGCTTGTACGAAGAAGAGTCAGAATTAGCACCACATTTTGCGGCTTGTCTGTGAAGCACTCCGATACCAATAGTGCGATCGAATCTACGGCAAAATAGGCTAGTTAGAAGACAGATCGTCAACCACAGAGCACCAAGTCAACCACATCCAATAACCGATGGGCAAACGCCTCCAAACGCTCATTATCTGACGTACTCCTCGATTCCAGCAGTTCACGAATCAGAATGTTGGTGTTGGAAACGAGGAAGGAGGCGATGAAATTGATAAAACAGGTGCGAACATCAGTTACATCTTTGGTGTTTCGACGACGTGACGCCTGTACCCAATCAGGGTGCTCAAAGTCGATGCTGCGAAGCAGACTGCGACCCAGCAATGCAGGGTCCGTTGAGACCACGGCTGCAAGCAGTTGAAGTGAAGCCTTTGCAGCTTCAGCGCTGCTCTGAGGCTTAAGAGCACGAAAACAAGCTGATAATGGAGCATCCTCCAACACACCTTCCGCCAATCGGCGCCCTGTATCTGCAAACATATCCGCGAGGTCCGTCCGCGTCCGAACGATGATTGTGGCTAGAACTTTGAGAATTACCGCCAGCTATTCAAAAGGAGATTTTACAACCTGTCAGATTTGAGAACGTAGACACCCACCTCGCTTGACTTCCGTTCGCTGCCGACTTCCAGCAGTGACAGTAACTCCTCACCGTTCGACTCTGATAAATATTCCTTGATTATGTCTTCCTCTTCTGCCTCCACCTTCTTCAGGAAAAATGCTAGACCTATGGCAGGTAGGGGCGTCAAGGCTAGGCACGTACTTACTGGTCGGATCAGATGTCAACTGAGAAAACCTCGACACCTTCCTTCGCTTAAGAGGGACATCGGACTGAACAGAGGGGAGCGTGCGTTCCTTCATCATTGCCTGTCGTAAACAAAGACGGTGAACTGGACATTCGCAGATGCAAACACAGCCAGATATTATTATAACAAATCCAACCCATACGCGAGCCTAAAGACTCTCATCACAAAGTTCATGTAATTAGTACTAATTTGTGCAAATGAAAAGCATGGTTTCGACCCCTATGAAAAGTACGCTAACCTTCACCATGCCTTGAGCGAAGGAGAGCAGATAATTACCACACTCTCATGGCCAACGGGAGGACAAAATTGAATCAATTGAGATCATCAGCTCACGTCGTGGAGAATGAGGCAATGCAGAGCAGTTGCAATGCTTTTGCTATCCAAGATTAGGGACGCTGATTCACAATACACTCTCTCATGGATTACTAATGGGAATAACTCGAAGGCAATTTTGTGAATAATATAAAAGCTACAAGTAGTTGGTATTACCATGAATTTTCGGAAATTCGTCCTTGCGGCAACCAACACATAGAGCTAATCGGGTATAAAGTGTAGCGTCCTACATAGCACTTCAGCAGAATGTGTGTACATAGAACGACGAGGTGACATGTGGCCTTTAGGCGTGGTCCGACGGCCACTCAGCGAGTAAGGAAGATGGCAAGGGATAGCTGCAATCATCAGTACTCTACGTAACGTCATACTCAAGTGAGTTGCCAATAATGAGGTAATGTCGTAAGACTTCCAAATAGGAAGAGGAAGCCATTAAGCAGTATTGAATACTTGTGATTAACGAGAGGGGAAGAGATTGGGCATCGGTTGGACCAAAGTTCTACCCGCTCAGCCAGGATCAGAATAAACACCAAGGTGTCTGCCACCTATGCAAGTAATAGAATTAGCAAGTAGCGGCAACTTTCTCATCGTTTGAATGATGTCACTGGTGACGCTTCAGTCGGTGCTACTCACGCCACCAATCACACCACATTTATTGCTGTAAGGAAATAGCAAATCATGGAATCCAAATACAATAAGAATTGTGCTTGACCCTCTTAGTAGCTTTAACTGCGTCTGGCTTTATGTTCAGCCCGAAAGCAGAAAAGTGATGGGGGAACTGCTATTGATCAGCGGTTGCGTCTGAGGCCAGACGTTGGAGCACTGATCTAAACCAGATGTCTAGCAGTGAAGTTGGAATCGAAAACAGTCCTGTACGGAAAGGCGGTTATCGCAATGCCTCTACCTGCACCTGTATACAGACGCGGTAAGGAGGAGTGCAAAACAAGCCTTTTGGGCCAGTTGAAGGCGGAGCCGCATTAGGTGCTAATAGTGTTAGGGAGGAATGATGATGAGGTTGGTGCCAAAGACAGATGACGATGGCAGCTCTTGTGTTGCGAGGACATTATCGGAGTCTAACACAGTCAGTAAAGTTCGTTCATGACGTTATCATACTTTCGGGTTCGCTTTCCTCTATCACCGACGGAATGCTAGACCGCCATTCATGCATAACAGCACACTGACGTGTTTGCAGACTGGTGACCCGAACTTGGATGCACATTAATGAAACTGGCTCTGCTGAACGCTATAGCTGCCATAACCTTATGTTGCATCGCAAAGGGTCTGGGCCATTGGTGACCCAATGCTCTATGTAACCCTTCGATAATTTCTGAATCGACAATCCTCAGCATTTTTGCCATCAAGTTCAGCAATATTTCTTCGTATTACTTTTGAGTGTCTTCATTAATAAGGTCTTAGTGCCATTGGCAGAGAGGGTAGCCATGGGCCAGCCATAAGTCCCAATCATCCTCTCTCTCACTAAATATATGCAAAAGTTACCGAAATGTTACATATCCTATCACCCATTTATGCCGACTCAAACACACCGATACAATGCTTTGTCCATGTGACTACTTGAATGGCTGACGGCAGCTTTGGCCTTCGCGCCAGGTCATAGACACGCTATGTCCCTTCTACTGTCAAACGGGAATTCTCAAAAGGTTACGTCATGGTTTTACAATTAGTACAGCAAATCAAGTTCTGAACTAACTGTAATACTTGTTTATCATTATAGCGTAGAGTGATATTCCGTTGAGTTTTGGAAGGTCCAATGCAAGGGCTGAAGACGTGTATTTGGGAAGAGGGGAGAGGTGGGGTTAAGGCATGGCTAGAAGACCAGGTCGCATACCAAAAACTTGATGTTAGTCTAAGTGAACAACATGCTACGCAGGTAGTCGAATACACAAAGCATTGCATTAGTAGGCGTGTCATCCAAACAAGTAGCGCATGACAATGCGAATTTTGACGGTAAACTGCAACACCCTTCTCCTGGCACTCCTTGTCATTCTGCTCAGATATCATAGCAGGAGGATAATGTAGCACCTCGAGGGTTCCCGGAGGGTGGAAGAAGGCATGAGTGAGGTAGAATACATGAATTCGTAGACGACAGAGCAAATGGGACCGACCATGGCCCGAAGGCCAGATAAGTTTTAAGTTAACCACCAAACGTCAAGTATTCACACAAACAAAGCATTACAGATAGTTTAACGATGATTGTTGCTCACCTCCTGATGGGCCTAGTCGAGAAGCGTAGAAGTGCACCTAGAGTATCGGAGTTACTCGAGGGAAGGATCCGCGCGTTTCTCTTACAAGGCTTTTCAATCGCCTTAGCGCGTCTTTTACGCCAAGCACAATGCTAAACAGCTTATACGTACTTTATGACTGTATCATAATTGTTGATGCTGAAAAGATTCACCAGTTCAGTATTGCTTACTTTTAACCGAGTCCCCAGAAGGACGAGTATTGTTAAATAACAGTACGAATGCTTAATATTGTCAATCTTGCAATGCATTGCCCATTTTAATGTCTGTGTGATTGGTGGTGGCTTTGGTATCCAACCGGCTTTCGAATTAAGCTAGAACTTAAGTTTTCCCCTTCGCTCTGAGTACAAGCATATAGCAATGCTTAACGCCATCTATAGCCAAAAGGAATGCCTACAACATCTGCAATTACTACTGCGAATCTCTGGTTCAAATTGCCAATATAGGCTCTTGGCTTGTGATACAGGTGAAGTGGGTTACTTTGACTTACACTCTTCGTCGAAAACTATTCGATCACTGCACAACCAAAGTAATGATCAATGGGCCGAGATCGCTCTCACCACTGGTGGTAGTTGGTTAACTTTTATCGAAATAGTTACGACTTGCATAAAACAACAGTGTAATCAAAAACCGAGATGCTGTCATTACTTCGCCTTCAAGGACGTCTGTGTCTTAATAAGACGTGCAATCTCGTTTTTCCTCCATTCCGAAAAATGGTGGGTTTTCGGGTGTGCGCCTGTTTCGTGGTGGCACTTTTACTCATTCTTAGAATGGACTTTCGTACCTTCTTTGTAAGAGTGATGCTGTCATCTCATTTGTATCTTTGGTATTGCGTTGTTATTTGCAATTTTAACAGGCTTCGAACGAGGCTCAATTCTACACATTTGAGGCGTTGGATATTGATGGGAATAATGTTTCCATGGAAAAGTATAGGTACGATAATTTGGTCCACTGGTGCAACCAACAACTTGTTTGGCTTTTAGGGGCAACGTGGTTATCGTCGTAAACGTCGCCACATTGTGAGGTCTGACTCAGAAGAACTATGCTCAGCTGCAGGATTTGTATACCCAATATGGCAGCCAGGGCCTCAGAATTCTTGCCTTCCCCTGTAACCAATTCCGTAATCAGGCATGTTGGTGCACGTTCGGACTTTCAAGTTGTGTTTGCATGTTTACTGTGGCCATTTTGTGCTTTTAGGAACCGGGAACGAATGCTGAGATCAAGGAAGCTGCCAGAAATAAGTATGGGCTTACTTTCGACTTCTTCAGCAAAGTCGATGTCAACGGTTCCAATGCCTTGCCGCTCTTCACTTACCTCCGAAACACTCTTAAGGGGACGATCACCAAGTAACTGACCGTTTGTGGGATGTGTTAGCTGTCAATGCCACGTGAATGTTGTGCTTGAATTATTATGAAAGGCTGGGGTTTTCCTCTTAGCTCAGTGGTGTGTAGTTGCAACAGTTTTTTGTGTTGCCATGGCTTGGAAACATAATTGAAAGTCAATGTCGGTCACTTTTGCAGTAGAACAGTGAAACAGTTGGGTTGGAGGTGTGGTTTCATCGCATGATTAGGATAGATGACAGGTGCAATGGGTTTACATTGTCGTCCCTGCTGTGATTTGACGTCGTTGCCACCTTGACCTTTGAGCTTGTGTGGCCTCAGCTTTAATTGGAGGCATTGGCGGTAATGACTGTTCTATATTTCCCATTTTTGTAGTAGTATTAAGTGGAACTTCACGAAGTTCCTCATTGACCGAAATGGAGTCCCGTACAAGCGCTACTCTCCGACAACTGATCCCAAGGTAATGCAGTGCACAAGGATGTAATACGATTCTAAGTTCGTTTTAATTTGCTGTGATTGTTTGGCGTTATTGATTTTCACTGTGGATGTTTCAGCTTTTTTGTTATGGGGGCGTGTTAGTGTGGTGTATCTCTCTGCTGTTCTACAACGGTTACGCCTTCCCATTCAATCACTAAGGTAGTATTCCGCAGGATGTATGGACTAATTTTCATTGGATGGAGAATTTCTCCGAAAATGTTAACATTGAATAGTGTGTCTATTCTCAAATTCGCTATGAGGAGATTTTTGCCCGACATCCTGTTTGCTGTCAAGATTTTGTTGGTGATCGTTTGGTTAGCTGTGTCATTGTTAGATAATTAATGACCTAGTTATTTTGCAGTGATTATTTTTGGCCAACTGAGTAGGCTGATGAAGAATTCCTGCTGCCATCAGGCACGGATTCTCGTGCACTTAGGCTTAAACTCACTAAGATAATCTTTTCCTGGACTATGGCATTACTGGTCAAATACGTTGTCTAAAGGTCGTTCAAGTTTTACCGAATTCTCGCCATGTTGTGGTATTCATCTTACTTTTGGCTGCGTGGGCTGCTCTACGGTTCAAGTCAATTTTTTTTCAACACAACTGTCTACCTGATAGAAATTTAGGGACGTACTTTCCCACCTTCTTTGCTCATTAGTTAGACTACCAGGAGTTGTTTCTTCAATTTAACAAAAGCGTTTTATGTAATAGCATGATGACAGTCCTCTTTCGCACTTGATTAACAAGATTATTAATCAAGCATTTGATAATGTAAGCAAATTTTAACTCACCTTTCTTCTGAAGGACATGACGAAGGACATCGAGGAACTGTTGTCCGTTTCTTAAATGCCAACGAAGATAGTCAGTCCTCCTCCTCATCCCTATTCATCCTTAACGAGTGGTTATGTGTGCATTCGTGTCTCTTATGACAAAGTCAATGAAAAGCCCATTGGTCACATTGACTTTTGATGTTCTCTGCAAACTGGTATACTTTGTAGAGGTGACACCGCATACATTTCCTCTTCCCTCATTTCCACTCCCTCTCATTGTCAAAGGACTGACGTTTTCGTTAAAGTCGTCAATTTCGTATTCTCTTTCTTTAATTGTAACATGCATTATCATCGTGCCTATTGTGTAATAAAATGATTTTTTTAGTCAACACAAAGTCTTCTAAAATTGTGTTATGAAGTTGTCAGTTGTTTATGTTTCGCTATTGCAATGGTTAGTGGGATAAATTGGACAACAGTTCTCCTCCCTACTCCTGATTTCTCAACTAATTAAAACAAAATCTTGCCAAATGGCGTGCGTAGATTTTAATTAATTCATTCGGTCCAACTCGATGTAATGTTCCCGGTATTGCCGAATTTAGCTATGCACTTCTCAGTCTTGTCGTGCTCTCAGCGGCGAAAGACCGAGTTTTCTGCGAGGTGTCGCATTACGCGCCTAGTTAGAAGCTGTCATTTCCTCCAACAGAAATTCTGTCGAGATCCGGAGCCTGGGATTTTCTAGTACTACAAAATTTGATAAGTGATGCTTCCATTGTTAGCTTTGCTAGTCTCTGACCAGGATCGCCTTTCCTTCCGTGTGTGGTGGAGTGGCACAGCAGTTACAGCTCCTCCATCACTAGCTCTTCTTTCACCTCTTTTCCTGTCATCTTTTCACACTACTTGATTTCTGTTAGTTGGCACTTGTTCCTTCACCTCCATTGCGTTACAAATGTTCCAAAGCACACGGCAGTTCTGTGAAGTCGCTTCAACTTAGCTTGATACGTTGAACATATTCCAATCCACTCCATCCCAACGTAGCGTTCAGTATTTCCGGAGGCGAGACTACTTCCTTTCTCCTCAAATCCCTTCGATCTCACTTCGGAATTAGTTGATTCAACTGATTTCACAGAGGCTAACGACATAACTAGTCGGGCTTGTGGAATTTAAAGCTGCATACACACTCGCAATCTCAATGCGGAATGAAGGGAGGCTCATTTACATTTGCAATGAATGTAGAAGGTCGTTTAACCTTCATTCCCAGTCGGTAGCACAAAGAAACGTCAAATAGATCACTTATAGTGTTGAAAACTTTAAATTGAGGTGCTTCAAAGGTGGATGGTACTTACACTCAACTAAGCGCCTTTACAGATTGACTAAAAGAGGCACTTGAGTAATTTTCCATCTCG